GATCGTGTTAACGATTATGTCAAACTAATTATTACGTTTGTTAATAATCAACAAAATTTTGGTCAATGTGCAAAAGTGAAAAAAAAAAAAAAAAAATCTTTCAGTAGAAAAATAAATGATATTTCATTTTGTTTTAATGAACAAAAGTGAACAAGAAAGACAAATCTTTTAGTAGAAATAAAATGATATTTTATGTTTTATCTAACGAAGAAGATAAAACATCTTATTCAAATAACTAAGTACGATAATTTATTTTATTTTATTTTTTTTTTTTTATTTTCAGACACCAGGTGGTGAAAGATGGTACGTTGAGAAAATCGAATTGACCTATAATTCGAGCGACCGACATTTCGAGCACGTAGATCAACCACGTAAGTATAGTTCATATACTTTGTTCTACATCTTTAATCTTTTCTTAGTATTTTTTTTTTTCTACCTTTTCTTATCTTTTCTATTCTTGATTGTTCGATAGACACAAAGATTTTACATTTATCTTACTTACAACTAATGAAAAAAAAAAAAAACAAAAAAAAAACATAATGAAAAACAATGAGATTATTACAAATGTTTCGATAATAAGAAAATGAGAAGAAAGAAAAATTGTTTTATTAGGATTATTATTTTTATCAATAAATAATTATGTATATATATATTTTTTTTCTTTTTTCAGATAAAACTGTAAGATTGAGCACTGGTTCGAAACACAGTGCAATGCTTTTTCCAACACCCGTTGGAAAATCTTACGCTTGTGACAATGAAACTGAAATTCATTTAACCGACGGCAAAAATACTGCCAGTGTTATACTCAGGTATGTATTTAATATATATATATATATGTATATAAATTTAATATATTTTTTTTTATATTTAATATCTTCTTAATATATATAAATTACGTGTGACGTTGTTTGTCCGCAATGGACTCCCAAACTACTGAATTGATTCTAATCAAATTTTGCACACAATATGCAGTTTCATCTAACTTGAAAGATAGGATAGTTTATATCTCAATTTATAATCACAATATTATTTTATTGCGAATCGGACTGATTGTGAGCCACAGCAACGCGTTACGGGGCACCTCTAGTAATTTTAATAAAATATTTCTGTTATTTGCGTCATATATATATAAATTTAATATACAGAGTGATATTCATCAGTTCTTACCACTGAAATCGTTTTTTTTTCTGACTTATTTACATGGCAAGAACTGATGGTGAATCATCCTGTATAACAAAACTAATGAAATTATTTTAATTAGTATAATCAATTATTATTGTTATTTACATTTTTATATTTATAGAAATATGAAGTTGCAACCATTCAAATTTAAGAACAACGAATTCGCGGCAGAATTCTCCTGTGCATCGTTAAGTGCACGAGCTAACAGAGACGAAACTGCACCAGTTGCAGTTGGTTCAACATTAGCTGCAGCTGTCCTCCTTACCATCACTGGTTATGCAGTTTATCGATACTTCAAAGTGAAGAAGGTCAAGTACGATACTATGGAATAAAACTAAAACGTCCTTCCCTCTTTTAGTCTCTCTCTCTCTCTCTCTCTCTCTCTTATCAAGGACACTGTCACGTACGATGCCAAAGAGATAAAAAAAAAAAAAAAAAAAAAAAACAAAAATGAAAACCAACAAAAACAAAAAGACAGTGAGAGAACAAACGAACAAAACTTCAACACTGAATATAATCAAACGGACAAACACANCTGGTTATGCAGTTTATCGATACTTCAAAGTGAAGAAGGTCAAGTACGATACTATGGAATAAAACTAAAACGTCCTTCCCTCTTTTAGTCTCTCTGGTTTTGTTACAGATGCACTGAAGGAAGAGTTCATTCGTCATTTTGTTATAAAGAGAAGTAGAAAAAAAAAAAAAAAAAAAAGAAAAAACAAAAATGAAAACCAACAAAAACAAAAAGACAGTGAGAGAACAAACGAACAAAACTTCAACACTGAATATAATCAAACGGACAAACACACAACTTTTAGTTGAAATTAATTAAACTAACAAATCTTCCTTCGTTGTATTTGGTTTTTTTTTTTTTATTTTTCTTCCAGTGTTTGTTCATTTAATTTTTTATGTAATTTCTCTTCCGAACAAAGGATAATTAATAATAATAATAATAATAATAAATATAAAAATATGAATCGAACAATCCATGATACGTATTTGATAATTATGAAAGTGTATCAAAATGTTTAACCCTTTGATTGCTAAAGGCGTATATATACGCTCTCAAAAATCCATCAGTATACTCGACAGACGTAAATATACGCCCTCTGTATTTTTTTTTGTTGTTTTTTTTTTACTATAACACCTTTATCGCTGTTTTATCGATTAACTTAACATGGAATTAAATTGTGATAATATGTAACATGGCAACTAAATTACTTGAAAAAAAAAGAAAAAATTCATATTTTTATTTTATTTGTCCATTATTAACTTTTTTTTGGTTAGTAGTCAATAGAAAAAATAGTCGCAGTGACTGACGTGCGAAAATTAGCGCCCTTTCATATCAATGGATTGGTTCGAGAGCGCACCGCAGTCAAAGGGTTAATTATAAACATTTGTTTTATATATTTATTTTAATCTTTCAAGAAAAAAAAAACCAGATATATCTATAATTTAATTTCATACTGATCACTTTCATAATTATTAATTAATAATAATAATAATAATAAAAAAGGTCTCACTTTTTAAAAGTAAGAGACAACTTAGGGGTAACGTGTTATTATCGTCGAAGCGTTCTGTGATATATTACAGAACTTATTAATGAATAAAATTGAGTATACTTACAACACATTAGAAATGAACATACATAGAAATGAAAAGAAAAATGAATAAGAAGAAAATAAAAACAAAAAAAAAAAATTGAAAAAATACAAAATAATAAATTAACCCCCATTTAAGCAGCACGCTCGAGCGTTAAACTCGAGCGCCCTAAACTGGCCGATTTTGAGTTAACTCGAGCGGTGTATTATTTTATATTTCTATGATTTTTTTTTTACAATTAAATATAAGACAAAAAAATTGAAAATAAAAATGTCAAAAGCAGAGAAAAAGAATCGGGTTTTGTTTTTTTTTCCGAAATAGTCATTCGAAAAAGAAAAAATTAAAAAGCACGAGGTACGTGTAACATTTGCAATATTTGGCTGTTCTATCTGCAATGTTAAACAAAATCTCAAATTAACATAACAATATTGATTATTTCTGTATAATTTTTTGTCAAAACAATGTTCTAAACTGTTTTTATGCAAAATTAAAAAAAAAATTGATTTTTTTTTGGCCACAATGTTGCTTAAAGGGTTTAAAACACAGAAAACAATTTAAAAAAAAAAACGTAAAAAAGAATTAAATGAAAACAAAAATAAAAGAAAAGGAAAAAAAAAAACAACAAACTTTTGACTTGTAATATATCACGTATTTATATAATATTACAAAATTAAATTAAATAAAATAGATAAAATTAATTTACTTATATTTATTGATATTATTATTATATCTGATGATAAGAAATAAAAATGAAAATGAAGAAGAAAGAAAGTTGGGAAAAAAAATAATGGAAGAACGTTCGCGATGATGGTCGGAGTCGGTGTACCTGAGATACCTGATGATTGTGAGAGAAATTTCAAAATGAATATCAAGAAGATTAAACAAAAGTGTTTGTCAAACGAACCTCTCCTTTATAAAAAAAAAAAAAAAATGATAAGGGATGACAAATTCTCTCTCTCTCTCTCTCTCTCTCTCTGTTTCACTGATTAAGAGTATCATTATCGCATATCGTTAACGAGCTAGTGGTCATTCAATTTTATCAAATTTTTTCATAGATGATTAATATAAATTTGTGAATGAAATTAGGGTGATCGTTAAAAATTGAACAATTTATGAATAAAATTTTGACGATTAAAATCCAACCATCATTAACACTAACACCAACATTACCTATTGATTTGAAAATAATTTTGAAAAAAGTTAACTCAATTTATTAATAATATTATTAATGAATCGTTCGGAAAGTAATTTTGTTTTATTTTTGTGAAACAAATGAAGACAAATTTTTGTTTCGAGGTTAAACTTAGAATTTTTTTCGAGTGAATTTAAATAATTTCATTTGATTAATTTCAACTGTCAACAATTTTACGTATTGTTATTTGCCAATTTGTATTAAATAATATCAAAATTGTGTGAAGAAAACACGTAATTATTTTCCGAATAACCTAATAATAATATTTTTTAAGCAATTAAAGAATAATATTAGGTGTGCAGCTGTGTTTCCGCTATTTTCCTGCAGATGGCTTATAGAAAAATGGCGGGAGCAAAGCTATACACCTATTATATTATTATTTATATATTAAATAATATTGTAATATTATTATTTTTATTATAATATTAAATATTAAATTATTACTAAATTATTTTAATATATTTACTAATAATAAATAATATTTTTTAAGCAATTAAAGAATAATTTTAGATGTGCAGCTGTGTTTCAGCTATTTTCCTGCAGATGGCTTATAGAAAAATGGCGGGAACAAAGCTATACACCTATTCTAATATTATAAATGTTATTATAATATTATTTAACAATTCTATTTAATTAATTAAATTTAATTATTTAATTATATTTATTGTTTTGTATTTTTTTTTTCTTTTTATTAGAACGAGACAAAATGTTCATTCGTTTCGTTATAAAACTCGTTTTCAAATATTGGAAAATGTTTTTCATTTTTTTATTTTTATTTTAACATTATTTATTAACAATTTACTTGGACATAAGGGTGTTATTAATTAATTAATTAATTAATTAGCATATTAACGACCACCCTAAATATTTCGAAATATTTCTCGTTGGTTCTTTTAAGGACATCGTGTGTATTGTGTGTATATGTGTGTGTGTTGTTTGTGAACTTGTGATGACAATTTATTCAAATTAGTATACGAAACATTACGTATACACACTTATTATAATAATAATAATTATTATTAAAATTATATATATATATATATATATTAATTAATTATTATTGTTATTATTACTTATGTTTATCAACGTGTAAAGGCGTTTCATTAGTGTGAGGTGTAAACAATGTCCATATTCGCAAACTCTGATGGTTGTAAAGATAGGCTTTTTAAAAAAAAAAAACAAACAAAAACAAAAAGAAATAAGAAGAAAAAAAAAATGCAAAGAAAAAGAATAAGTAAACGTAAAAAAGGGTTATTATCATTCCCTTAAGGGAAAGCGCATTTCACATTTTAATTCCTTTTAATGAAATCGTGATCAGTGTTGCGCGAACATAATTCAATCCTAATCTCGATATACTTCGTATAATAAATATTAATTATAATTATATTATAAATATATATATATATATATATATATATATATATATAT